AGCTAGCGCTTTGTACTGCAGCACTTACAAACGTCAAAGCTATGCTTGGTACTGCTTTTTACAGTGCAGGAAGGCCCAGAATAACCCACAACCAGACCAAATCCTTTGCCAGCTCCAGCCAGCCCAGTACAAGCAAAACTTTTAGTCTTCTTAGCACCATTATTATTAATAATAATATTCTTGGGCTGTCTGAGACAGCAGGAAAAGGGCGTTTAAGATATCTTTTAAAAGAGACAAGCACACAGCTGGCTGCTAGCAGCAGTGGTGAACATCAAAGGGCCCAAGGCAGAGGCGGGGGCCAGAACCATGTGTGAGGGAGGTGTGTTTGTGGCAGGCCCTGTCCCAGGCAGACGGGGCAGGGGAAACACCACAAAATGATTCAGGAATATGGCTTCAGGATGGAAGAGTGACAACAGAACCGTGGGGAAGTACCATGCTGCACAGGAGAGTCCACAAGGATCTCAGTGCCTGAACAGCATGGAAGCTCACAAGTGTGGCAGGCAGGGCAGCTGCTGAAGAAGGCGAGAGAGCAGGCAATGGACATGACAGAAATTTCGTCAGCCACACACAGCTGGGCAGAAACAAACGATGCCATTATGTGATTATGGGTTAGCCCGAAACAGTGTTAAATGAAGAACCTAAACTAAACTGGGCAGTGAATCAGTGTGTGCGCTGGCAAAATGCTCTTGAGAAGTATAGATACAGCCCTGAGGTGACCTTTATGCCTGTGTTACAGTCCTGCTGGTCTCTGCTTGATCTCTCCTGCTAACAATTTGGGCATACTAAGAGACTGAGAAGATTTAACCCTTTTTGTTACCACAAGTCTGAAGATGGCCTACCCAAAGGCCTACCGCTCCCTTCCCATCCACTCCCCCACCCAGGCACACGTGCAGAACTTTTATCCTTGCGTCCCTTTCTTCCACTGCCCCTAACTCCTCACAGCCTTTGAGTCACGCTAGTTTTACAGCTCTGCCAGAAGCAGCAGCCCAGCTCTGCTGGCAAATAACAGAAGGAAACTCAGCCCAGCCACGGCATGCGCTTCTTCACTTTTATTCTGTACATTTCCACACAAGTCACAATACAGAAAAAGTGTCCAAAAGGAACAGTAACCAACTCTTGCACTGCATACAGATTTCCTCCTTCCCCCTGTTTAAAATCTCCTTGTTTAGCAACACAGTGATCAAGATAAAGAGGAAATGCAAGAAAATGGGGGAAGAAAATACTTTCTTAGTTAAAAAAAATAATAATAAATAAATTGAAAAACACTTCCCCCTTCCCATATCCCCCTTCACTGCTGGTTACCTGGACCCTAATTTTCTGTTAAATGTAGCTTCATTTCATGGGTGCTGCTGTGCGCCTCTGATTCCTTTTGCCAGCTGGCAGCCTCATGACGCACAGCTCCGGGGCATTATGCATGGGGTCAGACAGCATAAAAGAGCCCTTTGTGATGTTATTACTACTCCTGGAACAGATGTAGGTTCAGATAATAGGATATGTACAAATACTGGAACTCTGGATGCCCATGAAATGTTGGCTGAATATGCGCATTTATTATTTGGCTTTACTATTCTGTGTAAGGGACTAAACACATTATGGATTCATCCAGATTCTGACCTCTGTCACACCTTGGTTCATCCGGAGCGAATTCAGATCAGGATCTATATTTTATCCTCTACCACCTCTAGGAAACAGCAAGTGAGCATCCATTATATAGTCTGATGGAAACAGCCTTTCCATCTTGAGCCTGTTCATCAGCATCTCTCTTGACCACAGCTCCTTCTTTGATAAACCACAGTCTTAGCCTTGTTCTTTTTTGCAGATGACATCCCCAGCTCTCTAGCTCTTCACTTACTCTTGTCCTTGTTAATCGTTTTTTATCTCTCACTTCCCCAGTGGCCAGAGCAGATACCAGTGTGAAGGCCAGGGAGTCTTCTCCCTCAGATGTTTTGCTTCCTTCTCTAGAAACATTTTGCATCAACAGACTGCGATGGTGATTTCTGGGTTGTTGGAAAAGCTACTGTGATACCTCAGTGGTAGAACAGAGGCAACAGATAGAGGTATTTTCTGAGACAAACCCAACAAGCCCTCACAAATGAAACCCACAGTGCTCAATGAACTCAATATGATGGCATACAACTGCTCTAAAATTCAGTAAAATATCCTCTGGAGGGAGGGCCTGAATGCTTTTATTGACTAGACATGTCACCTGAGCACTCTTTACTATTGCAATTAAGTCAACCTAACTAAAAAGCATGGGACAGAGCTACTCCCACTTTCCATCAGGAATGATTCCAAATGAAGCTGGATATCATGTGGGAGCAACATTACTAGACACAATGAGAAACTGATGAATGGTTAATATACATACGTTTTTGTCCATGCAAAGCAAAACACCTTACTTGAGTGTGTGGTTGTGGGTGGTGGTGATATCATTCCCATCAGACAGAAAAGGAAACTGAGGCACAGCAAGGTTAAACAACTTCCCCAATAGAGACTCAAAGACAGTGGCAGGAATAAAACCTCAGCCCCTTGATTTGTTACCCTCTGCCCTATTCCTTTAACCACAGTACCTCTGGTGAGATATGCTGATTAATTACAACACACAGTGCTTCCCTATTTTGTGACACGTTCATGTGACACATGATCAGACTTGTAAACTACCATGAAACAGTAGCATATCATTAAACATAGTGATCAATTTTTGTATAACCTTTATGTTTTTTAATAAAATAAGAGGTCGATTCTTGCTCAGAATAAATCCCCACTGAGCTAGCAGTGACAGCCTCATAAACCATCTCCAGCCCTTATGTACATTGCATTTTCATTAGCATGCATTTACAGCCTGATATTTGTATCCATAAGAAAATAATCTTTCCCCAGAACACATTTTGGTTTTTCCCAGTGAAAGGCTACAAAGCCATAGCTGTTGTTAAGAGCTGTGCAGAAGAAAAGTGGCAATAACTGTGGCACAGAGGAAGGCCTGTCGTTTGTAGCAAAATGTTCTGCTCACTGACTCAGAGAGGACACTGAAACCTCCATGGACTGCCAGAAGGTTTGCGTGGGAGACGCAGAACACAAGTCCTCAGCTACATCATTTTCTAGATTTTCCAAAATCATTCAACAGACTCCTGTTTCTAAAAGACTGGCTGCATCCAAAATGACTGGCACAGAGCTTACAACACAAAATAATACAGATAGAAGAAAAATAACTTTCATTTCCCGCTGTGAAAGCACACTTCACCTTGCAGACACTTCTAGAGAGATGCTGGCAGTCCCAATTCTCTCCATTCCCCTCCGCAATGCACTGCAGGCCAATGGCCAAGTCTAGCAACTCCCAAACCCATCTGGGGAGGGATTTTAACCCTTATTTATGTTGCTTTCCAGTGGAGTTGCAGGACATGGAGCACATGCAGTCCACAGTGTGAGGGTAGCTGGATGTCACCACAAAGGGCAGTCCAGTGCTGGCTGCTGTGCAAGGAAATAGGTAGGACACCCCACCACCACTGGAGCTACTGCCCTGCCCCAGCACTAGGAAGAGAAACACACTTGATGAGAAGAGCTTGGAAGAGCCCTTAAGTAAAGAAGGCAGCTCCTACAGGCTTACCAATGTCCTTACGTATTTTAGATTCTGCCTGGCTTGTGGTAGGGTGCCTAGAATACGTAGCCTCCAAAGAGGTGCTACTTTTGCCAGAAAGGTGATTTATGGATTTTTCTGCACGTAAGCCACCCCCTTTCCCTAGATCTGTGAGGTGCAGCACTGAGCTAGAGGGATGCGAAGTTCCCAGGGGCCTCTTCAGGCTTTGAAGGCTCAGCCACTTATTTTCTTTTTTCCCAAAGCTGTTTTGTGATCAAAGGAGGCAGATGGAAGAGAATCACTCTGCAGTGACATGCAAATGGAACAGAAGAAAAAAAAAATGATAAGCCTCTGCCGTCTCCCTGTGATTTTTCTGAGATGCAAGCTGAGCAGAAAACAGTGCGGCAGCAAGGCCAGCCATTTCACACCAGAGACCAGCACACTTGCTCGCCAATTGGAAGCAGCTGCCACTTCTTGCGAGTATGTCACAGAGCAGTATGGTCACATTTGCCTAGGCAAAAAATACTTAACAGAAAAAAAAAAAATAGTAGAGGAGGAAAATGACAGTAGACAACCCCCCCCTTTCTCCCTCCCTCCCCCCCCCACAAAAAAAAAAAAAAAAGACTTTTCCCCTCTTCATATTAAAACTAAGCCTGGAAAGGTTGTAATCAACCCCACAGGTGTGAAATGCCCCAGCCTATCATGCTTCCCATCTGCTTAATCCTGGCACATTACAGTTATCCTCAGAGGTGCCTTTAGTGCTGCATGTCTGACTCACTGCTAGCACAGCAGAATTTTATTATTCCTACCCATGTTTGGGTGTGGTCAGAGGACATCCAGCCATCTGTGACACTGGTCAAGCAAAAGTGTCCCAGAGGCAAACAACTGAGCAGGGTTTTGACCTTTCCATCAAAAATCAAGGTAACATGAGTTAAGGAAAAGTGCAGTGATAGAAGAAGCAAAGACTTCAGTGAAAAGGGACTGAAAAGGACAAAGTAGAAAAAAAAAAAAAAAAAAAAAAAGAGCATTCAAGATGATTTTAAATCAAATTTAAATAAAATTATGTTCCATTTCCTTCCTGCCATTAGCTGTCAGCAAACACACTTCTTTTCTTAGCTTTGACATGAACGTGCTGCTCCCTTGTGCTATGGAGATAGGGACACTGTTACAATGGTGGCAAAACCACAGGAGAAAATAACTCACAGCTGCACCCAGCTCCTATTAAAGTAAATGTAACTAACAGTTGTCCCATTCTGATCAAGAAAAAAAAAATGGTTCTGGGAAGAGGTCTGAAATGGAGAACAGTAGAGAGAAGACAGCAATTTGCTTTGTGGCCTGTAGTAGTCATATCTTTTGATGTGGCTTTGTTTACATTAATTTACAAGCAAAACCTTTGATATGGCTAAGGAAAAGGGAGAGGTGATGTGCATCTTGTATCACCTCATGAGGCCTCAAGACTTGCAAACAGAACAGTGAGCCCCAGAAGCTTGTGTGGTGATCCCAGTGGGGGCAGGAACAAGATGCCCCCTGCATAAGGATGACATAAATATTGGGAGCAGTGAGCTTGGAGAAGAAATAGCCCCTTCTCACATTATTAAAAGTGGATAAGTCTGATTATGGTGCAAAATTGCTCATTACAGTGATCTTCAACAACTAGCACTGCAACTCTGCCCAGAAAATAGCAATGACTATGGAATCCATTCTGTAGGGTCCCCATTCCCAGGGTCCAGCTTAGTTTTACTTTTCTAATCTTGCCTTCTTTCATTTCCTGTGTTAATAGCTAATAATAATAATTAATAACAATAAAGAGAGAGAGAGGAAGAGAAAAGGAAAAAAAAATCCTAGAAAAGGCAGACTATCCATTAGAGCCAAACTAGCCAAGTAGAAATTGTTAATGTCTGTTGAATCATGCTCAAAACCTTCTTGAGTTTCTCCTCCATACTTACAAACCTAACTGGTTTCTACAGTTCCCAGACAGGACCTATGTTCCTGAATACCTGTAGGAACAGGGGCTGTGTTCTCCCTTTGCTTGGCCACAGGCTTGAGGGGGAAGAAAAAAAAAAAAAAAAAAAAAAAAAAAGTGATAATTGAAGGTCGTTAAGACAGTTGGAACCAGAAGGTCATTTTTCTCATTAAAATAAAGGGTAAGGCTAAGAAATGAATTGCGGCGGTGTTTCATGCATTAGCAGTTAGCTATTTGCTGCAGCACTTGTCATAATGGAGCACCAGATTGGCACCATGCACACTTTGCTGAGTGGTAGGTTACACATCAAGCATCCTCCTAGACAGGGACTAATTGAAGAGCCAGGTGTTACACTCTGCCCGCAAAAGGAGGCTGGTCTAGATGAAGCAATTACATATGTAGTACTGTATTGCTAAAACAAATAGTGCTTATTTCTCGCATGTCAAATTGCTACAGCTTCCATGTACTTTGTATATGAGAGCTGGAGCTGTTAGCGTACTAGGGAACTCTGAAATAGCATTCCCAAATCAGAGTTCTGTCTCTAGTAGATGAGGACAAAATAATATAAACCATTTTCTGAAGATTGTCTGTCATTTGCTCTCGCAGGTATTCACCTTTTGTATGTCTGTGTCAAGAGAATCACTGCTGCCTTAGATTCAGATTCCCCAAATCTCCTCCACATAAGGGAGGCAGGATCATAAGCTGAATGATTTAAAGGGCTAAGTTTAAAATTCTTTTCAGAATTATAGATGTGTTTATGTCAAAACCTGCTTTTGTTGCAAGGCACCCCCCACTTAGACTTCTTAGAAGAAGACGTGCTACATCAGAATGAGGAATTTTAAAACAAGCTGCTTGTCTTCCCCACTCCCTAGGTAACTGAATACATGTGTACTGCATAGGATAGATTGTCTTAAAAAAAAAATAAAAATCTGGGAAACAAGAAACTGCAGCTGAGATTGGAATGTGGCACCTTATAAATAAGGCAGGAGACAAGATGCACTCTGATGGCTGAACACAGTAAGGTTATTCAGCTCTAAGCCTGCCTAATCACTGAAGTCAAATGTAATGAAGTTACTGGCATGATCAAGGCCTGAGGGAGGAATTTTCCCCCTTTGCAGTAGCGGCACCATAGGCAGGCCAGGAAATCCCTTGGCCAAGGTAGGGGGCACTGCGCCAGCACATAACTACGGGGGGCAAGAGAACGCTGCTTTCTGTTGGCACCATCCTGGCCAGGGGTGCTGGAAATGTGCTGGGGAAAGAAAGGGGGGCCCCTGAGCTCTGGTACCTACAGAGGGCTTCAGGCAAGGCAGTCAGAAGCAGCACGGTGCCCCACAGCATAGCTTGGAGTACACTTAGCCACAGTCACTGCTTTGACTGCCGGGTAGCTTATCCCTCCCAAGCCAACTTTGAAAGAGAATTGTAAGTGAGGAACTTCCCAGGTACCTATAGCCCACTTTTGGGCAGCCTAAGCAAAGCTGGTGCAGTCTGTTGGCATTGGTAATGCCTCAGCAAATGCTGGGACATGTTGCCCCTCTGTATAATCTGTTTGCCCTGAGTGCTGGGTTAGGTTATAACTCCTCTTGAAGCATTTCCACAGTGCAGCCATGCGCTGCCTCTGGCACTTCCAAAGGGAGTTAAAGCTCTGAAGCTCAAGACCCATTCTCCATATAAAATTCAGGTCTTCATCAATATGCTGGCAAGTCACTTTTGGCACATTACTGAGTCTCCATTGCAATCAACCGATCTTGGCAGGCAGCTCTGGGATTTAAAAGCTGTAGCTATCCATTACTAAGAAAAATAGTTGTCTGCATTGTTGCTAAGAAAGCAAAATGAAAAGATGAGTACCACCGCAGCGAACCCTGTAACACTATGTCCTGTAGCTTCACAAGTATCCAGAAAGGCACAGATTTATGGTAAGCTCTTTTAAAGACTGCTGAAATAATTGAAGGTACTCACATTTGATTGTTTAGATTAATTAGGAAGCAAACAACCCAATATTGTTTTGGCTCAGATTTAGGCAGGAAAATAAAGGGAGGAAATAATGTCTGATGAATGGAAAAGAACAGATATAATGGAAAAAGAAATGTTACTTTCAACATGGTAGAAGAGCTGTTATACAGAATTTTAAACTCCATTCTTACAAAGTACTCCTCCATGGATGTTAAGTCTGATGGAAAAGAAGCAAAAAAATGGGGGAAAGAAAATTACACACTCATATAGATCTGCAGGAGAACTGCTTCCCTTTTGGAGGGAAATGCAAGAACAGAATTGTCCTTGGAGTGATTGCAATGCATTCATGTTTCCAGTACATCCATAAATTTCTTGAGTACCATTAAACACCTGCAAGATTAAGGCTACTTAAGGCTACCAATGTACCATGCCCATGTCATAGTTTTTGCCCAGACAGATCTCCTCCACATGTTCTTGACAAACTGGAACACATAAACACACCCCATAGTAGGTATCTGGGTTGGCTGAAAAGAAAATAGCTACCTTCCAGGTGAGGTTGCGCATTACTGATTTTCGTTACCATGCATGTCACTGTCACAGAAAAATAATAAGTTTAAAAAAAAAAAAAAGACAAAAATGAGCAAAAGAATACAAAAAAAATACTGCTAAAATCAGAACTTACACTTCCATACCACCAGGAAAAAAAAAATAAATCTATTCATCTACAACAGCTTCATCTCTGCAAATACAACTGGGAAGATCGATGGCAACAAACATTGGTTTTGTTCTATTTTCTTGTGCCTATAGTGCTTCTATGTGATGGTCCTTATGTAGCAGGGGACATCTCATGTAGTCAGAAATCCAGGCTACAGCATCATGAGTGGAGACTGAGCAATTCCATGTCTGCTGGAGAAAAGGAAGGGTGACAGGTGTCAGTAAAAACATCTGCAGACATCTTAAAGTGTAAAACCGTGGACAAGCCACCATGTGAAATGGTGAAAGAGCCACTGGACTCTGAGGTACATTCTGCAAGCCAGTGCAAATATTTGCCTTGAACTCCTGTCTTATATGAGTCATTCAAACTCACACCTCACACTATTGAAGGATGCTATAATTAGTGAGAAATGTATGACACTATCGTGCCTTGGAACACATAAATATATTTCTAGCACTGAAGTGTGAAATAATAAAAGTAACTGATGCTATTAAATAACAAAAGTAAGTTTATTTTATCAACATTATAAATACTTTATTTCCCTCCATTTTACTCCAGAATGAGATAGTCAAACCAGTACAATGGAACAGTTCAGGAGCTCCTCAGTTCTACTGAAAAGGGTCCCCTTTAATAACAAATTAAAATGGAAAATGACATTTTGTCAGTCCGGCAACCTCAGTAGCTGAGCATCCCTAGGTACTTTGTCATTCAAATGGCAGAGTTCTAAAAGTGTGCATGAGTCTATATATATGCATACTGATATTCATAAATATACATATATATAGCAATATACACACATAAATAGACACAGCCACAGACAATTTTAGTAAATCGAAATGTTTTACATGTAATTTAAGTGGGCTCCCAGCTGCATGCTGAAATTTGGGCCCTGCACAGTGTAGGCACAATGATACTGTACTAAGATAAGCCCCCAGTGCTCAAGAGATTCAATATGTATGTGTCACTGTTAACTGCTGCAGAGCCACTTGTGGTGGCTGTCCAAAATTGAGAATACAGTAGCACTGGGGAAGGAGTAGGAAATAACCCTGCAGTATCCTGGCCCCAAGCTCTATCCCTTAGTGAACCACTCTCTGATATCCCTGGCTGTGTGTGAGCCATCACAGAAAAAAAAAGTACATGCTCTGTTATCTACATATACAATAGATTGCCAGTATCTATGCATTACTTGTGCAGTGCTTTGGGACACCTTGAATATTAAAAGGCACTACATACAGCCAGCTCCTCTCCTATCTCCAGTGCTGGGGTTTAATTTTTATCACACAGTAACTGCCTCCTACCACATATACACAGCAGGAAGCTTTCCAGAGGCATGACCACCTCACTCTGATCATAGCATGGCACTCCAGCTGCCAGGGGAGAAAGCATGCCAGGCTCTGTTGTGTGCTCCAGTTCCTTTCAGCAGCCTGAATGGCACCAAGGAGCTCGGGAAATCTGACCATTCCTGACAAGCTGCTCCAGATCCAGTCCCTGCTGTGGGCACCCCCCACAGAAGAGGGATGCATCACCGAGGGAAGGACTACTGGAGATGGAAAGGGATTGGACCTGGCTTCATTGTAACAATTTGCACGTGGCCTCTGGAGGCTACCTGTGATCAGAGCAAGCCTTTATTGTTCCACCTTCTTCATGGGACTTCAGGACGAGGGAGCTGCAAGGTGCTCTCTCAGCATCCTCTGCTCAGGCCCCAGTCTGGCCTCAGCACAGGACGGAATCCAGCCCCCGGTATCGTTGAAGCTTCCTTGGTTTCTTACATCAGTAAAACAGCAAAAAGATACAACTGATACTAATATCATTCATATTTTTAGTCAAATATATAGAAATATTACAGTGTTGTCTTTCCTCACAGCTGGGAAATGATGCAAGGCCTACTATGAAACCACAGCATGAGGATCTTCCTTATGCAAGTTTCACATAAACAAAAATTATACTCTGATGTTTTAACATTTGCCAAATTCTGTTCTAATATATACACCTTTGCCACAAGCCCCTGGATTATTATCAAGGGAAGGAATTTGGCTTTCATATTTTATTTTTTAAACAAGAAAGGTAAAGTAAAGATAGAAAATAAGACAAAATACATTTCATGTCACCATTGATCTATAGATTACAAATATATATAGTTTCCTTCCAGAGGAAGAAATACTAAAGAAATATTTTGCTCATATCAAATGAACTTCTGAAAACTGAAAAAAAATTAATAATATATATATATTTTAGCTCTTCCCTTTCTACCACAACAATCACTCTTGTCAAGAAAGAAAGGAGGAGAGAAAGGAGAGAAGGAGGGAGGGACAGAGGGAGAGAGAGAGAGAGAGGAAGGTAGGAAGAAAGGAAAAAGAGTGAAAGAGAAGGAAAAAAAATGAAAAAGAAAAAAGAAATAAGAAAAAAAAAAAAGAAAAAAAGGAGGCGGGAAGGAAAGAAGGGAGGCAGGGAGGGAAAGGAAGGGAAGGAGAAAAGAGAAGGGAGAGAGGGTGGGAAGAAGGGAGAGAAGAAAAGAAAAAGGAAGGAATCTCATTCATTTCATTTTTACAACTTCTAATGAGGAAGAAGAAAAACTTATCTGAATAATGACCTGAGTTATTTCCATGGTTTCCAAATTGCATGTAATCCTGATGATCACCATCTAATGGAGACCTTCCCCTAGCGATGCATGTGAAACCAAACACCATTGGATCTTTCAAAACAAACAGCAAAGCAAAATTCAAAAATCTATTGCAAGAATTATGCCAAAAGTGGGCCATGAGGATCTTCATAAGAACTGAGCAAAGTGGAAGCTCTGCTATTTCTGGCAGCTGAATTGTCTTTAGTGATTGAAAACCTGAAGATGAACATTTTACGTATGTCTGTGTATGTCTGCTTTTTCTTCTTTTGTGGTTATAATCTTTGAGGTAAAACAGAGAACAGACGAGTACAGTAGACACAACTGGCCTGTATAGTGGCTAAGCAAGTTTAAGTTTCCAAGTCTATAGAAAGTAATGAGGCAAAGAGCTGCTGCCTGTCCTTCTCCAGGGGGAGATCCTCTCTTTAGAACTTTGTTCCCCATCCCTTGGGGAATCAGGTAGTTTACAGGCTCAGCCAGAGGAGGTTTTCCTATTCCCAATATGACCAGGGCAGTGCCTGTTCATTTGTTCATGGCTGACGGATAGCCTTCCAGGTTTCCTCTCCTCATCGTAAAACCCATCTTGCCAGAAGTAAAAATAGCTATCAGCTTTTAGATTGGTCTGAAACCTGAGCAAACCCAGTTGGTTATTATAAGCTCAACGGTGATGCAAGAAACCTTAGGGGTAGATTTCTGCTCTGTCATACAATGCTTTATATTCCATATAACTCCTTTCCAATCAAACGCCTGTCTCATGAGAATACCGTAACCATATACCCAGCAACATGAGGACATTAGATTTTGTTACTGCTGTAAATTTAACTGTGTCCCACACCCTAGAAAACAAGGCAATAGGCAGAATTCTCTCCAACAGTGAGAAAACTCCCCAGTGATTGAACACTGAGGAAGCAGCTTCTGATGGGACAGCAAGGGAGGGAACACAGCAGGTAAAAATGTTTTTTCCTAAGGGCATCCAGAGCTCCTCAAAATTTCTGCTACTGCCTGACCATTTGTGAAAACACAGAGATAACAGGTACTATTTAACTGATGACAAGTGAGATGAATGGGAGAATTAAAGGTATGCAGGAAAATATAGGGATGGAGGAGGGCCTGGCTTGTTGTTTTAATGTCCCAGTTAGTTTGGTACCCCCACACCAACTTCTCTTTTTTCTTTTTCTTGTTTTTTAATAAATGTACAGATGAACATGGGAGAAGTTCATGCTACTTGCTGGAAGCAATAAAGGTAAATTTCCGTGGCCCATGGATTCCACAGACCTTTGAGAGTCCCACCTCATCCATCATGGGCTATCTTATGGAACCTAACTGTTCCGTGGCAAGACTCAGTAGCCCTTAGAAACTGGTGGCATGTCCTCAGATATTTTCCATGAGAGCAAGAGACACGTTGATTCCATCAGCTTCTTCCTCACACGATGCCCAAGTGCTCAGGTGCAGCCTTGCTATTTCCAAGGATTCTCTTTGCCGCTTTCGGACATCAGACTGCTGTCTCCAGATCCTCATGGGGAACCATTTGGTAGTTCTGTCGACTCTCCAGGTAGGAGGCCAGATCTGGGTCACCAGCTTGCTGAGCCCTGTCACGAGGGGTCTTACCCTAAAACAAAGAAAGATGAAGAAAAAGTCTTGTGCCAACATACTTAGAACAGATGAAAGCGCGACCCAGAGAAATTACTACAGGAAGTACAGAAGTACATCCAGAGAATTTACTTATTTTCCCAATGAATAAAGTTGGTATCAAGTCAAGTTTTTCTATGAGAGTCATGAGATTCTGAAGATTTTCAAAATCCTTGTGTGGTTTAGGACAAATAATTCAGCTCTATAAGGACATGCTATTTGATACCTTGCACAGAAGGACTCACATGCTGAAAGGATCTGAGTTTTCATTCAAGGGCTATAGTCCCTCTGTGAATGAATATAATGCAAAGTACTGTAGATAACACTTGAAAAGCATACTTCACAAACTACGCACAATTTTACTAAGGATGTGGAGAGTGAGATTCCTAACATTTGAGATGAGCTCAATGTGGTTCATTCTGTCTCATGTCAAAATTTTTTATTTTTCAGTGCATCACTTTGCTATGCTGTTATCCCAGCTACCCTAAGATTACTGTAGAATTGGACAAACCATCTTGATCATGAACCATCAAAAATATTGAAAACACATTAATTTATCTCCACAAAACCATTCTTGCTTCCTGGATTTCTGCATAGATGAAAATTAACAACTTAGTAGCCACTTATCTGGATTTTAGATGTTGCAGAAATTATCTTTTACAATGTATAGTACTCTTATATGAAAAAGTGATGATCTCTCTCTGGTTTATAGGCTACTCCATAGAGCATAACATGGAATTTTTTGTCTTGTTGCAGTGAAACTGCTTCTAACTCTAGAATCCAGACATCCAACCAATTCTCAGATACTGGTCACAGGTCTGTTATGTTTAGAAATGCCAGAGGGGCAGCTTCTGTACCATGTTCCCAAGCGATCAGATTGTTGTATTGAGAGGCTGTTCCTAGGATTTATTTTTTCCCAGACATCTTCCTCTGCTAAGCTTACACGGAGAGAGGGTTGTGGTTAGTTTTGCATTAATAAACACGGGGGCAAGTGAGGGCAGTAGATGATGGTTAGCCATCCTCACAAAGCAAGTCAGCCACAACAATCAAGCCTCACAGACACTATGCAATCAAAAACCAAGACTCCCCCAGGTGGTCCCTGCCCACAGGCCTCTCTTTTGACCACACAGGAGAAGGATGCTGCTGTGCCATGGAGATGCCTCATTCACACCCAGCACACTGAATAGTTTGAGGCCAGGCTCTCACTATAGTGAAGATGACCCATGTTGGGGACTGAACTGAAGTCTCTTGTACTTGTTTCAATCAATACAGTTTTCTAAATAAAAATAGCTTGCGTAAAAAAGAGCTGCTCTTGGCACACACAAGGAAGCCTCAATCATGCACACAGCAGGGACGGATGCTGATCAGTCTCGCTTGGTTGCAGTGTTTTATAACTGGTCGACTGGGCTGGGTTACCTTGGAGTCCGTCTTTCTCAGCGAGGCTCCCGCATCCACCAGGAGCTGGCAGATGGCACGATGGCGCTGGCAGGCTGCCTTATGTAATGCCGTCTCACCCCTAGACCAAAGTACAGAAACCAGCAGTGAGATGCATCCCACCAATGTACATTTATGAAGTATAAGGTGTGATTAATAGATGATGTATTTCTGCAAAGTTGCATTTTGCCAGCAGAGGTGGACTTGTACCCTCTCTCCCTTACCATCTACATCATTTGATTCAGTAAGAAAACTTGTAATGCACAAATTGCAGATGGAGAACTTCTGAGGAGTGGGAAAGAAACATGCACAGATTTTTTTATATTCAGAGAGCTGAACGTCACATTCCCATCCAAACAGCAGTTCTGTTAACTGCTGCAAAGGCAAACCAAAGACCTTACTTCACAGTAGGCTAAACTGTAACAGCATTTTTTTTCTTCCTACTATTTCTTATCTGAGCCTCTTTCTTGGAGGCATAATAGAAAAATCATGTCCATCAAAGCCATGGCAGCTACCTTTGCTGCCCTGGTTCTGACACCTGGCTCTCATGGATATATGAGAGGAGTTTTGTAGTTTTGTTCTCTACCGTTGGACTGGTAAGCTACTAGAGAAGCTTGAACACATGCTTTTCAAAACAGAAGGCTGTGTAGTCAGTGCAGGTTTATTGCAAAGCTCCGCAACTCAGGCCAGAGCTACATGTAACAGGATTCTGAGGCTGGCTGTGCTAACAAGGTTAAAAAAGTCTGTCCAGCTTTGACTAGAAAGAAGAGGAGGTATGCTTTGCGTGGGTTGCAAGTGGTGTCCATAAGACTAGTGTCAAACAAGAACAGCTGTTACATAACCCCTAAAATAACAAATGACAAGAATTGCCTTTAGTAGGGCAGATCTTGCACATACCTGACCAGAAAGGAATTTCAGTCTCAATCCTTGACAGGGCAAGTTGAAATATTAATAGACAACATTGCAATGAATTTCTCTCTGCTGCATGAGAGCTAAATTAAGAATGGGGTGCTACCTGATTTCACACCAAGGATCAAAAGGCAAATTCATGCTGGCACATACAGCTTGAACCTTCCCTTTTCAAGAGTTAGGAGTAGAGGAACCTTTGTAAAGGGAATCCCTCGTAGCTACATCCACTTGAACTTTATTTCAGTGTCTGTGCTATTACAACTGCTTGAGGAGAAGCAGGTAGTCCATCTAGACTCCATCACCCCTGATGGAGTCTTGACTTTTGGAATTAATCCTTCATGTTGGTCCCTCAGCTACTAGACTCTGGAAACACTGAAGCACAATGCTGGACTTGTATCTCTCTAGAAAGACTAATGAGTAATGGGAAGCAATAGAGAGGAAAACCTTTTTGGAGCTCAAGAAACATTTGTTTTAGGCCAGAAAGCCATATGTGTTGCTGCTGTTGTTTGTGTTTGGGGGGAGGGGGAAGGGTTATAACTAATTGTTTTTGAAGAGATGTGCCACTATGAAAAATGAGAGACGTCTGCTACTGTAACACATGTATTGAGGAGATAGGGTAGATTGTACTTACGTTTCACTGTCTGTCATGTCCAGCAATTCAGATGGACCTGCAAAAGACAGTCAAGTATGTCACGTAGCATTTGTTTGCATGACTTTAGGAGCACAACTATCAGGAGAAAATATTCAGTGCAAATATGTAAAAGAAACCAACTGAAAGCTCAATTAGCACACATATGCTAAACTTCAAGGTAATGTTTGCACAAGCCCTTGCACTAGCAAAATTCTGAATGCACAGTCACTGCTGGAGTGTCAGCGTCAGAGAGGAGCAGCCTCTAAATTATACTGGAAATGAATATTCATGGATTTTATTTTCTCACTCTTCACCTTGCTCAATTAAGTGGTTCACATAAGTACAGCGCATTGAAAATGCTGATATACTGGAAACCCTGATATAAAACAAGTTAAAATCTATTGTTAGTATTAGACGGAAAATGTCATTAGGAAGTTGAAATTAGCCAAATTCTGTTGTGAATGACATCCCTGTGCTACTTCATTTAATAGCACTATACAGAATGTAGATCAGGGTGGAATATTCCCAGCGGTCTTTATATTGATATGCAAATCCTGTACTCTACTGGTCAGCAATGATCGGGAAAGTAAGATTAAGAAAAATAGAAAAGATTTTTGTTAAGTGGGACAAAATAATTCATTTACATTAATGTCCTTTTGTTCTTGATATTCACTGCAGGCAGATGTTTATAGCAGTAAATTCCATCATTGAATCACAGCGATATGGAAAAGCAAGGATCTAGATTGCATTTGAAAAAAGAAGAACTTTTCCCTTTGCAGTCTGCTTTATTATTCTTCTCTCCACTGCTCTGGAGCATAGTGCCAGATGGTATGGGGCAGTTAGCAAGGGGAACAGTGAAACTTTATAGAAATTTTACTTCTTTTTCATGAATATTTCTCTTCATCACAGTGTGAGTTTCAGATTCAAGGGTCCTCAAGCTTACAGCAAATCTCACCTGAAACTGAGGAATTTCACACTATTTACTTACAAAGACCTACACACAACTTCTCTTCACTTATTTCACTGAATATGTGTTGAAGTGGGTCAGTGCTGTTTGTCTCTCCCTCACTCCTTTTACAACATATACAGGCAGTATTGTCGGGGAAGCTGGCTGCCATAGCTCCTGGAACTGCAGATAGCTCCTTACCTTTATATTCCACCATTCTGTGAAAGAGGTGGTCAAAAAAACTAGCACGCCTAGTCCCCAGGGCACAGTGCACCTGCATGCCTACTATGGCAGTTCTCCAAGCTCATTAGCCTCTCTCCTTTTTTAAAACACAGTGTATTCTAAAGAAAATCATGTTCTTCAAAAATAAATGTGATTCCCCATGGCTTACTGCAACACCACATCCCACAGGTGGGTAACAAGGAATGACCTGCGATGTTAACTTAATAATAGTCTATTTCTGTTCATAGATGGGACAATGAAGGTTGTGATGCAATGGTAGAGCACAGTGTCTGGACTGGCTGCATTGGGCATAGAGGTACTTACCATGGAAAGTTGAGAAAAACAGAAAAAAAAAAAGGTTAAAACATTAGGAGTAAAGAAGGAGATAAGTTAGAAGAATATGATCTGAGAGAACAGAAGAGCCAGAGCAGAGCAGGTCTGGTGAGACGTAAAACCAAGGATAAAGGAAAACTGGTCAGGAACAGGAAAAAACAGCGACACTAGGTCAGAGAAACCAAGTGCTGAGGACTGAGTGGGCAGTCCATGAGTACAAACCTAAGCAGGTGCCACGTACAAAGAGGGCTCTCCAGCAAACTGTTCCAAATAAAGCATCTCATGGGAGCAACCCAGTTCCACCCCAGACATACTTAAGACCTAGATATTGGGGTTACTCAATTTGCAGCAACATCCAGAATTTGTTCATTTCATTCCCTCTGCTCTATCTCTGAAATTAGATGGTTCCAACTCACACACAGTCTGATCTGTGCCCCGCACTTCTTTATTTTATTTTCGCTTGTGCTTCTCTTAAACCATCTCACGCCCTCCTCCTAATTCCCTTTCCCCTCTCTTTTGGACCTCATTTTTACATCAGTCTCCCTGGCGCTGCCAACCGACCATTCCAAATCCCCCTCTGCCCTGGGACAAAAGCTGCACAGATGTGGGAAGGGCTGGCACTGGGAAAGCTAACAGCACTGTCATCCTGGCCCAGCAGGGAGGCGGCTGTTTTACTCTAGGACAAGAGGCAAAGAAAGAAAAGGGGACCAAGGCGCAGAGAGAGAGAGGACAAAATAACCCCATAGAAATCCGGAAGGGAAATGCATGAGTGAGATTTCTATCAAGGAAAGCAGCAGGGGGGGAAATAAAAACAAAAGATAGAAATGTGTGGAGAGGTGGAGGGAGAAAAAAAGAAAAAAGAAAAAAAAAAGAGAGAGAGAGAGAAAGAGAGAGACATGGGGACTAAAGAATGGCAGGATGGGGACACAGGGGGAGAAGTTCGCATGAAAGGAGCTGAAAAGCATGACGCACTGAGGGGAAGCCCAGCTGAGATCACTTTCTTCCCTTAACATCTCTGATAGACTGTCTGTGTAGAATTATTAACTTTTTTCCTTCTCTCCTTCTATCCTCTTTCACTCCACTAAAGCCCCTCTCCAATTTCTCAGGAGGCAGAGCAGCCTAAGCTGGGGATGGGAGGAGGGAAGGGAAGGAGAAGCAGCTGCCCTTTAGCTGAGCTCACTACAACATAAAAGAGAGGCAAAATGACCATATTTCTGAGGCATTTCCAAAACATACAGCACCATGCAGTACAAAAGGCCTCCAGGCCTGCAGCACACCCTGCCCTCTCCAATGGAGGTGGTTACAGCTACCCCCAGGAGACCCACAGCTATTAACCCCTGCCAGTCTCTTGTCTCGTCAGTCCCTCCTTTGTAGAACTGAGGAAGGAGTGAATTTACCTTAAACAGCAATGTCTTCCATTAGCAGCATTTCTGGGTGTTTATCTATCAAAAACCTCTTCGGTCAATAATTTGATTAAGGTTTTTAACTGTGGGACAAAAATGTATTTGGTTCCTTACAGTTAAAGAGAGAATATTTTTAAAATAGTAGTAATATGAAAAGGCAGAACAATTTCAGGTTTTCCCCCAATTCTGCACTCATTTTTACCTGATGTGAAGATTAATAGTGTCTGTTTTGTACTACTAGTGTCTTTTGGCTTTGAATTTCCACTGTAACATGGAGTGTAGTCTGATTACGGGATCACACCTTCCATTTGAACAGTCTCTCACCCATGTTAACCTGAAATTTGGTAAATTTAGAAAATAAAATAGGCTATTTTATACCTTGTGCCTTCTAGGAAAATTGAGCTGTTTTCTGCTGAGGGCCCTCACAAATGTCCTCCCACCATAAAACACTCTGCAAATGTAGAGATAGTAGTGAATGTCAGGCATACTCACTCTCCTACAGTGTTACTTTCTGATGGCTATCCAAATTTTGTCCCTGACATACATCTCTGTCACAGAAGAATTTGCTTTCCAATCATAACAAAAAAGTAACTAAAGACTTTTCTTGCTTACTGGAGGATGCTGTCCAGTGGAGCAAGGACATTGAGACCTGAGGTTACAGAAATGCTCTACTGACTGACTATCCCACTAGAAGTTTCCAACACAAAATCCTAAGCAACTGTAATTAACTTTCCTCTATTCTGTTTAAAACTAATAGAGAATTCTTGCTTGTCTTTTGAGCCTCTAGAGAAGAAGATAAAAGAAGGAGAAGATCAACCTTGGATTGTTTGTCTTGAATAACGGTTATAGATTATAAATAGTTCAGAACTGGCAGATGAAGATTCCAAGTCAAGTTTGATTCCAAATACAGATGTTGATTTAGATCTTCTTAAGCCTTCCCTACTTCTGATTGTGTTAAGCAAGTAAACAGTTAACTCTTTTATAATGTGCAAGCACTGGGTTGTGAGACAGTTGGTGACTGCAGCCATAAGCAGATGTGGTTCTGATACCTACTGAGTTTGGCCCTCAGTTTCTTGCGAAGTGTTTCTTAGCCTAGCTACAGACAGATCTTAAAAGGTGACCTTCCCAATACAAGCAAAGGACCCCTGATTTATGAAGGCCCTCTTGAACAACATTTAGGTCTGTGTTTCTGCCCTTTGTACACAAAGGATAAAGAGAAACTGTTTTGCAGGAACAGCAACCAGCATGACCATTCCTGCAGCAGTAAGCAGCTGTCGTTCCACCACCTACTACATCGGTGCTTCAGCTTCTATTCCAGGCTTGTGCTAGTCCTCTGATAAGTATCTGGCAACACTGCACAGCAGTCTGTTTGTGTGACTCATCTCTGCTTTTTTCTAGCTTGAGAAGGGTTATTTTCTTCCCCTTAACACCTGAAATCATTCTGATTGAGATCACAGAATAACCTCTTGTATTAATTCCCCTGCATGTTTGCAGAAGGTGTAAAGCCATCACTGGAAAGGACAGCCTCAGCATCACAACACCATTTTTCCTCTTTCATAATGCCAGTCTTATGGATGTGGTGTGTTTGTTGGGGAAGGGGGGGGGAGAGAATTTCCCACCTCTTTACCACATTTGATTCACACCAGTAGCTTCACACTAGGTAGTTAAAACTCTTGGTACGGTGGGTTTTGTCTTGCTGGTTTTGTTACTTTAAAATATATTCAGAAGACTTTCCCTGTGATTAATAATAGGTTTTCTGTGCTGTGTGCTGGAGGGTATTTTGCTGTGGAACTCCCAATGTTAATAATCTCCAGCCATGTATGGAAAGCAGACAAACTATGGGGGAAGTAAAAGTGGGCGGAGGTAATTGCCAGAACAAGCGTAAGATCCATTTTTATCAGGGGTGGGTATCAGCAGAAATGAGAAGCTAGATACAGGGAAAGACTCAGATATTAGTAGCACTAATACACTAATTAATGTTGAGAAGATGCCAGGTGCCAGAGAACGCAACAGAAAAACAAGGACATTATGATGATGATGATTCAGCAAGAGAGCTCGTTTGTGACTGAGAAGTACCCAGGGTAGAAATGAGTTTCATTAATTGCTTAGTAGAAGAGAGAAGGCCTCTTTCTATTACAGTATTGTCCCATGCACTCTCTGATCCCTAGAGAATGTTAAACAAACAATGCATTTGGAGAAGCCCAGAAGACATATGTCTGGAAAGCTGCAAAAGCTTCCTGCCATCCCTGGGGATAGAGGGGGGAGAGAGGAACTGAGCTGACATTTGCTCAGCCTTCTGGTTTGTCTTTGTCTAGCAGCCCGTAATCCCTCACATTTCTCTATTCACTTCAAAAATTCCCATGGATATCCTACTCACATCTTTACCAGCCTAAATTACCTCATTCTAAACCTTCATCGAAGGAATGGTAACTGTGTCAGTTTGTAAACTAAGGCATATGAACCTAAAAAAAATCCTAGAGAGGCATCCATGACAGTGAAGTGGCACAAGTCATGTGCACTGAGAGAAGAAACCTATGTATGTACAGTAAACCAATGTATGTGTAATTACACCTATTTACTGAATTTAGAGGCACATATATGAACTGTGACTAATGAGATAATCCAGAGAAGTTAAGAGATAGAGTTAGTAATACTAGTTAGTAATACTAAAACTTGTTACAACTTGTGAGAAAAACAGCTAGTATTTGAATGTAAGACCAACTACACATATCTACTCTTATGGAGGTATTTACACATTAAAAAGGGCAATTCAGATCCCCCTCAGCCAAATATCTGGGGCATAGTTCAGTTGCATACACTTTTTTGTTGTTGTTGTTTTGTGCCATTTGATCTCTTGAAGGGCAAGCCTCGGTTTGCATTTGCGATGACAGGGATGATTTCCTGGCCTCCAGCTACCAGTCCAGAAGGATATGAGCCTCCAACAGGCCTTTATGTTACCTTGTACACCCATGCAGATGTCATGGATGTTCAGGGGCAAATTACATTAGACAGTTATGTTTAGCTAAATGAATGAAGCACACAGGTAGCTGTAACATGGATCACTTGCTGGGCTCCAATGTCTACTGTGCCTAGGATCTCCCTTTAGCTACTCACACTAGAAGAGTGCTCTATTAAAGAAGCTCACCTCACTTCCATCTGACACTGAAAGAAGACATGTCTTCTCTAGTACCTCTATCATACATGGACAAACGAACTTAATCTCTTGACAGTATGGGAACTTACACCTATAGACTACTTAACACCTGTATGTAAACACCTAAATGTTAGAAGTCAAACTGAAGCCAAATACCACCCCAATTAACTGAAGCTAAATACCACCCCAATTAACACAAACATTAACAGATGGATTATTGCCTCTTCCTTTACTATGAGGAGTGGTTTTTTCTCCTCTCTGTACAGTTTCTGCAGTAACTTTCAAGCATTAGTTAACACATTCCATTTGTCAGAGGCAGTCTCTGTGTTTAGTGCTAAGACTTCTAATGAAATAATATATCTGATTCTGACACCCAAAAGTCAAAATAGCCATTGATATTTTGGAGAGGGGGTCAGAGAATACTTACAAGAATGTTTAAAGGACTCAAAATCATATCTTGCAGAACAAGAGGATGATCACTGGACTGTAGCTCTGCATTCAGAGCAGTGACTGTTATTGTCTGTATCATTCTCCAGCAACCATGGAACAAGATTACTGAAGTTCCAACAGGCAGAGACTCTACTGCCTCAAACATATGGGCACACACAAATTGTTGTATAGCCCATGTAAGCATGCCTGCAGCCCTGTTACTGACAAAGATAAAAAGAGTCCAAAGGAAAAAAAAGGAACATGGCAAGATCATAGACTACAAATATATATACATAAAATACAGATCACAATTTTTGTTACAAATCTTGAATTTAACTGAGACATAATATTGGAAGGTTGGAGAATAAACAAGGCAAATTTAGTCAAATGCACGGTTTCCTAAGCAGAGTATTATTAAACACTGAAATAATATCAATGATAGCAGGGGCTCTCCATCGCCGTAAATGTTTTAATAGAGATTAGATGCTTTCTACAACAGATGCTCTAATTGAAAAACAAATTAGTTCAGAGGAGTCCCATGCCAGAGATCAAGCTAGAGCATCACACTGGGTCTTCACAGCCTTACAACTGATGCAACTGTGCAAATACCTATTCTCCTCAAAAAGAATAATTATTTTAGTTTCCCTTTATCTGGAGTCATCACTGCCATTTCTAACATGCTCCGAGCCTCTTGCTCACACATGCTGCAGATGGGCATTTGGCTGAGGGTGACCACAAGGAGTGAGGGCACTCCCAACCATGCTGTGCTGTGCAATTTTACCTACTGACACTTGGCTGAAGTACAGCTCTCTGTGGGTTTGCCCACTGTGACTCACCGTGCTCCAGGATATATTTCACAATCTCTCCGTGCCCAGTCTTGGCAGCATGGTGCAGCAAGGAGCCATGGTCGGGTCCTTGGATTAACAAATTGGCTCCTTTTTTACAGCATTCTATGAACTGGAAAAAACAAATAAACAAACAAACAAAAAAAATGCACACACACACATGGGAAAAGGATAAGGAAGGAGAAGCAGAAAAACAAATATGAAGGCAAATCATTTATCATTTTTTGTAGGAAATCAGTACAACAATGCAATGCAATGTGATGAAGTATAATATTACTTTCAAGTCTGTTTTTAGGCCTCAATGAATAACATCTGAAACTGGAAGTATTGACAACTGTATGGGTTAATAAGACCAGGTCATATTTCCTGTATAATGAGGCATTGCTTCTTTACAAGCAGTGAGTTACTGCTTGCTAGCAATGCTTGCAAGCCCATGTCCAGTGAAGTTGTTGGGATATTTAAAAATATACATATTTGATAGAAAATGTTGGTTCATCTGCTGAAAATTCCTTTTTTTTTTTTTTTCCTCAGTAAGGGAGGCATACCCAAGGCAAACACTTTCTGAATAAACCAGAAAACTCAGAAATCCACAGGGAGCTGGAGTTGAGCTGCCCCAGATCTCCCTTCTCACACACTCTACCTTGTCCAGGGCGCTCTGAGTGGGAAACACTATCCAGGGTAAGAAGGGACAGGGAACACCCACTGGTTAGCTCTCAGAGTTGCTGCAGACTCTGTGGGGGCTTCCAGTACAGATTAATGCAGAAAAGAAGGAGCAGCTTGTCACAGTGGAGCGTTATTTATGATGTAAAACATGTGAATGAAGGCAAGAAATTTCCCTGTCAAAGCAAACACGGGCAAAAAGCTTTCAAGAAGCAGAAACTGGACAATATGTTTATGACTGCTTGTTCGAGGAATGCTCCCTAGGTTCTACAGCCACCACAGCCAGGGAGGAGGTATGGAAGGTGCACCTGCAGGCAAAGAGTTGGCCTAAAAGTACTGTCATTTTTACAAATGGCTCCAAGCTGGCTTTTCCCAGATAATATTGCAGTCATTAATCACAGCCTTCATCCAAATTCTGGAGCAAGTTTGCAAACCCTGACTTGGCTACTGAAAAACACAGCCTGAATAAATGTCAGACTTTGGGAACAAAACTTTTTAACATGGGTGCCTTTTCCTCCCAAAGCAGGGTACCAAAATCTGACAATACCAAGACATTATGTGTTTTGAGATGTCCATCAGACCATAAGACACTAAAATGAGTTTCACTCTACCTGATCCTGTCACTATGTAGGAAGAAGTTAAGATGTCTCTAACAACTCTAGTGGCTTGGCCACCAATATCACTACAATAAAATCTCATTTACCGTGTAAGGCTGCACCAGAACTACCCGGTTCAGTGCTGCCTCTGCTAGTATAGTAATTTCCCTGTTAGTAACTGACACATTGCTCCATACAGTGCACTATGGATCCTGGGCTGAGAGGTGCTGCCTAACACCAGATCCTATTCACTCGAATTTCACACCTCACCTTACTGATGTGTTCCCCTAATATTCAAGGTTTCCTGGAAAGGTTGTAAAATAGCATTTGCCAGCAGTCCCTACAGCAGTCTATTTATGTTCTGAGCAGAGGTGTGATATAATTTACAGTATATCAGACCTGCAAATAGCTGTGAAAACGTGGACACTCAGTGCTCTGTGCTTACCTTCAGCAGATCACCAGCTATGACTGCCTGTAAAAGTGCTGTAAAAGACAAACAGAAAACTAATGTTAGTCAGAAAGTATTCTGCATATGGCCTCTCAGCTGAGAACATACCTCACAGTATGTCTGGATTAAGACAAATGCCTCAATCCACTTGTGCACTCATATACTACCAAAATTGATGAGGACTCTGGACTGACACGTGAGGAAGGCAGAAGGAAGATTGCCCATGTTGAGTGAATGCTATATGGACATCAAGGCAGTGTTTCCAATGCTGCCGTGGAATTTAATGCTTCTGTCTGAATTATTGCCTTGAAGCACTTTAGGGAATTTTCAACAATGTTCACAGGTTGGGGCTGAGACCCTGGCACCTGAGCCTTAATTGAGGACATCTATGTCCAACGCAAAGAACCCTCAGACCATTCATAGTGATGGTGAAGTGGTCAGTCGGTGTCAATGACACAGAGAGTCCCAAGTCACAGATGACTGAGGGGCAAAATAGAGATTTCTTAATATTTATTTGTATTACAAGAACACCTTGATATGCCAGCTGGACAGCAAGTCCTGCTAGTTGGGTAGGCAGGGTCAAACACAGAGCAAGAGTCAGTCCTCACCCTTTGTAATGTAAAGGGACGCAGAAGGAAAGAGAGACAAAGAGAGGAAAAGTAAACTCACTGCCAACACCTGTTGGGACAAGTCCAGGAGAAAGAACAAGTTGGGCAAGAGCCTGGAACTCTGTATTGCCCTGGGTATAGGCTGCATTCAGTAACACTACTGGTAGCAAGCAAGCAACCACCTTCTTTTCTCCTTCTCGCTATCATAATATTTATAGTAAAAACAATTATGAGTAGTCTTCCTGGGAAAGCAGTTATTTAGTTTGCTGATGCGAAGAAGAAGATTCAAAGAAAGCTTTAAGCATTTGCCTCAGCTCATATCTTTTCAAGTGTGCCTAACCCCATTTCTACCCTCAAGGCTAGGCAGTGCAATCAGGTGAAGCATTTGCTCAAGTACTATCCTTGATAAAGGTGCCAAAAACTCAAGTAGAGAGGAACAAGGGGGAAAGAAATCCGTAGTATAGATTTGCCCCTGAGAAATAACACACAGGAACTGCACAGTGTGAATTTCGTGAGGAGCTTGTTATAGCTCCAGAAGTGACAACACATCCAAGCTAAATACTGCAGAAGAAGAAGGGTTCGCAAAGACGACTCAACAAATGTCCCTTTCTCTGAAAACACCTGGAGTTGTGTGTGGCTTTCAGTGGTCTCAGCAATGCCTAATGCCCTGGTCTCACAGCAATGGGAAAAGAAAAAGAAAAAGAAAAAACAGTCTAGCTAATTCAGGAAAGCAGGAGCTGCAATCACGGGTAATTCTTGTAACATTGGATTTGGAGCTGTTTTACAGTGAGCATAAGTTAAACTAAGTCCTGTAAATCCCCTGGCATCTGTTGGGGGCTAGGACACACTGCTTTGAGGAATGGAAAAAACAAACACCAGCAGGTAAGATAATGAACTGGAAAAATACAGACACATCTTTTCCTCAGATTTCATTTTCAGTGGGGGACAGCCTTTTTTTTTTTTTTTTTTTTCTTCCCAGCGTTTCTAATACTGGCTCAGCACAAATTAATACAAGAGCAGAATGTGGCCCTTGTGCCATTCATTTCATCTTTTTCCTCCTTAATCACAGGTTGGATCTCAGAGATACAGTTACTGGGTGGGCTGCTGCAGTCTGGGTTTGTATAATTATTCTGCTCTCCTCACACGTGCAGAAGTCAAATGAATTGGTGACATCAGCTTTTCATTGCCATCTACATCCAGTATTTTAATACACAGTTGCCCTGAAATTACTTGTTAAGAGACAAAGATGCACTTTCTCATGCAAAACAGAGCTGCTAGCTAAGGTTATAGCTCAGAAAAGACAGCAACGAGATCTAGAAAATTGTGAAGTCAAAAGAAAAGCCTAGCAACCTATGGCAAATCTTCTTCATTGAGTACTCATAACCAGAGGTTGGTCTGGTGATATTAGGGTAAAACAGCTCTAAAACACATTCAACAAAATTAAACCAATCTTTTCCTATATTTTCTAAGCATCCAATCCAGCAAAGCATTCAGGCAGGTACTTAGCTTTGAGCTAATCACAGTCTTGTCACCAAGCCTACCTTCAATCTTAATTTTAAGTGCTTTGTTAGAGTAGAACCTATTGCATAAATGAATACATTACAGATCAACAAAACCAACAGGCATAACAAGTAGATTAGACTACTGTAAAATAAGCCACAACTCTGGAAGACTTGGAAGGTATTGAACTAGAAACGGGGAAACGTTTTTTAGAACAGGGCTCACATTTGCATATGCTTATGAATATTGCTTAGCACACTAACCCAATAAATTCAGATGGGACTGCTGGGCATATTCAGGAGGAGGGTGAAGATAGCAAAAATCACCTGATTGTAAAAGTGGTTAAAACAAGCAAGCAGATGGTATTGAAAAGAGAGTTGAATGAGAAATTGAACAAAAACATGGTTAACATGCAATGCCAAACTACCTTAAAATTAGAAACATTAAAGTAAGAATGGTTTTATTTCTTCTGAGCAACACTGCACCACTCGTGTAATATATAACATGAATTATTGAATTGTTTTATATCATAACATACCTTCAGGTCTGAAAGAAGTCTCAAAAGTTACTTGATTTAATAAATATTTAAATCAAGTCTTTTTTTTTTCCTCAGCTTTTCCTGAGACAAGCGTTTGTCATGACTAATAGAAATGTTTTATTACCTTTTTCATTTATTTAGCAAGCAGATTTATTGCTGATGAAATGTGACAGCTTGACAAGACTGGAGACTCAAGTGCTCTGTCCATATAACTAGGAATCACTCAGCCTGTCGCAGTGCTAGACACCCTGGGCTGCCTTCTCAGCAAAGTTCAACCCTCTGTACCAGTACACCCCTACAGACAGTCTCTATCCCTTCTCTGCAGCGTCACCAACTGCTCTGCTGAAACAGCCAGCAAATGTAAATCACTGACTGGGGAGATGGATCTTGACAGAGACCTTACCTGCAAAGATATGGACAGACAGAAATTCAGTTTATGTGTATAACGGCTGCTAGGGAGCAGCAACTTGGGGTGAATTTTGACACATGGTTCTAGCTACCTCCCTAGGTCAACTTATAAAAGGTGCTGCATTAAAAATAAAAAAATAACAAAACATACATTTGAATTGTAAATTAAATATTAAACCATTCAAAGTGAATAATGCACTAACAGGGAAAAAAAAAAAAAAAAAAAAAAGAAAGAAAGAAAGAAAGAAAGAAAGAAAGAAAGAAAGAAAGAAAGAAAGAAAGAAAGAAAGAAAAGAAAGAAAGCAAGCCAGGTTAAAAAGGCTGCTAATTGAATTCTGGTAATTCTGCAAGCTAGTGCAGCTTAAGAAATAAAAATTACCTCCCAGCACATCCACATAATAATACATTTCCTGTGGTATGCCTTATTCATGCTATTTCCATGTTAGCACCCAGTTTTTCTATTGGAAACAGCTATTTTTATTTCCTATTCTAAGAATAAATTTTAAGGTCACAGAGTTGTAATAAACATTTTTGTTTCCTATTCATATAATTAACCTACTGAGCCATAGTTGCTCCCTGGTTCTGCATATGTGTTGGCAGCATTACAACTTAGCACTGCAAAACCAGTCATTAAACACTGGGAAGATAACAAAGAAGTCAAGTATTTGCACTCAGTAACTTCAGATGCTGTGAGATACCTAGAGGAGGCTGGTCTCACAGAGCTGCCTGGATGGCCAGAAGAGAAGTAATCTTCCAGATAAAGTAACTGGGAACCCCTGCTATAGTTCCTGTTGTGCATCACCCTCCACAGACAATATAAGTTTTACAGGAAATGACCTCCCAGCTGGAGTAGCTAAATTAAGAGCCGAAGTAAGACAGCAAGGAGATTCTTCAGGAGTGCATTTTGCCAGGAGACATGCCCAATCGCCTGCTATAACAGCCAAAAATGGACAAAATGGAGCATCCTCCTTTTAAGTACTCTTTAAAATGAGGATGATACTCCTGGTACCAGGCAATGCTCAGGATATTTAGCAAGTTACATAAATAATCGTTAGTGAGACTGATAGCCATAAACACTCTCCAGATTTTAACAGTCATATTGCACACTTGATTTGACCCTTCCCTGATCATAGTTGCAACTGTTGATGTTATGCAAACTAAACCCCAGTGAATGTTGATAAAATTCTGTGGCTTCTTTGATGCTTTCACCATCTCCAGGGAATCCTTCCATGACGGTGTAAGGAGAGTCACCGGAGGGAGCAGAATTATTGAAAACTACTTTAAAGTATAAGTACTGCACAAATGAGTTGTCACGTCCATAGATAAAATGAAGCAAACTGGAGGCCTACGAATGAAATGCGCTGTGTGAGAGCAAAGTATTATTTATGACAATACATCTTAAAATGGGTTAAAAAATGCAAGGCTAACTATGCATCTGAACAGTGTATAACAATAAATAGGGAATCATGCATTTAAGTACATGGGGAATCCTGTTGGGGTTTACCTACTATAACTCCAACACATAACAAAGTTAGGGCTGATAAAATCTTTAGCTCTTTCAAAAGACAGAGTAAGATAGCTGATGATTTGAAGGGATCAGGACCTTGCAGAAACTTCAGTCGGACAGTGCCTACAGCTATCCATCTCATCCTAAGATACAGAACATGGAATTAATACACCAGCCACATTGCAGTACTGGGTATTTCTTTCTGGTTAGAGGCAGCTAATTAATATATAAGACATTAAGGCTTTTCTGTCAATCCTTCTGAATTTGAATCTTAGTGTGCAACACCATTTCCTGCTAGATTTGCTCAAGAGAATTCTTAAGGATCACCTCCTCAAATGCTGCCTCACTCAAACCTTGCTGAGCTGATAATGATAAAGAAACTGCAGCAGAAGATGACATCATCAAATTTCTTGACAGTTATTAAACTTAACTTGGCCTATCATTAACTTCCAGAACATTTCCAGCTCTTCATTA